TTCTTTCAAAGCCCTACAGCTAGTTATAAATACAGCACTTCAGGTTCTCAGCACCAAGACTTCTCCAAACCTCTAAATGTCCTGATTTTTACATGCTGATACAGAAAGACAAGGACTGTCCTTCTGTCTCATGCTGACACCTCAGTTTCATTAATCATGGGATTTTGGCTGCGTAATTCTTCTCTGCCCTCTCTGTCAGTCATTTATTTTGCTTAGCACTGGTGCTCTTTCCTACCCCACATGCAATGACACAATTATTTGCACAGGGTTTCCCGAGGTACACTGAGATAAACTAACAGGTCCCTGAAACTATGAGCAGGAGGTCATGCTTCTGCTCTTTATCTCCAACTAGCTCTGGTACTCACCAGACCCTCCTTAGAGATAATTTAGTGTGCTAAAATGGCAGAGTAAAAAACAAAGTTGGATAGTTTTCTGCTGCTCTACCTAGTGAGCTACATCTGCTCAGAAAAGGTTTAACAAATACTGAAACTGTTGCACAGATCGGGGAGAGAGCCTGTGCAAAGCGCAGCTCAGCTCAGAGAAGAAGTCCAAAACCTTTCCCCTTCCACAGAAGATGGTACCTTCTCCTGATCCCTTTTCATTTGCATTATTTTTAACCTTATCGGGTTGCCTGATCCAGTTCAGGTCCCCAAACAGTTGTGTCAACAACTGAGTGAGTGACAGCCTGAGCGTAGAATTTCTTTCATCAGTTTCTCTCCAAAGGCCACATGATGTCTGAGCAGTATTTTGCTTCAGACATGCTTATTAAGTTTGTTTCAATCAGACCATGCGTCAAGGTGTTACCAGACATGAAAGATGAGAATCTGGTGCATTCAGCTTTTATAAAGGTTCTTCTAGTCCACTCTGCTCTACCACAACAGGAAAAATAATATCAAGTATGGTGGGCAGCTGTGGTATATTCCACAAACACCTTTGTTCTCACATTCGTCTTCTTACTTACCAGGGTTAGTCTCCACAGAAACTAGATATAAGCTTGCACCCTTCATTATCACTAATAAAGCTTCATAACTGCTCACTAAGATATAAAGGATTTGCTGCTAAGAAAATTCAGAATTTATCTCATGATTTTTTAGAATAAGGTAAATCTGATCAGCAAGAGATAAATTACCAATAAGCTGGCTCCTATACTTGTTTAAGAGCTACTTAGCTCCAGGAATGCATTTCAGAAAAGCTATCACAACTTCCAGCACTTCCAGCTATCAGAAAATTATATATAGTGATAGGCTGCATTTCACAGTAGCAAGGTAAGTTTGATACTGTATTTTGGTTGATCATCAAAGCTGCAGAATAACAGTGGCAAATTTACCTAACTAGGATCTTCCATGACTGCAAGACTTCAGAAGGGGATGGTTCAGACAAAGTGAAGCTGAGTTTGGGGGGCAACTCAACTGACATTTAGGAAAATGCCTCTCAGAGCAGCCATCAGGACTCCAGCTGTACATTCTGCAAAACTTTCTCTCCATTAGATTTATCAGCTTTGTGTGGTGGCTAGACAAAGAGGTTCATAACTTCACACTGACATGTAGTTAACTACTAGAGTGTTGTCTGTGACATTTGTTAATCTGTTTCCAAATACAGCAAAGGGTTTCTTTGGTGCCTTTTACCTCACTGATGCACCTTCCTCAGTGTTGGGAGAAATTTCAGGTTAGTCTGGAAAACACCAGGCATTTGCATTCCTTCAAGGTGAAACTCTGGACCATAGATCATGGACCCAGTGTATTCAGCAGAATCAAATCTCTATTCAGCACTTCTAAACTACCCATCTCTCATCAAGCTGCAACATGATGCCAGTGGCAAGTAGAATTTCCATCTTTCAAATGCAACAGGAGAGCAAGAAAATTAAATAAAAGGTGGACTTCCCTACAGATACAATTACAGTGTTTTGTTTCATCTCCAACCAGTGAAAGCAGAGCAAAACTATAAACATACAGAAGAAGCCATCTTCTCTCAAAAACGTCAATGTACTAAAAGATCAGTAGATCTTCTTAATGTAAAGCCTTTAATTTCATTTCTTCAAAGTATTCCCACTTAAACTCTTATTTCCACAAATGTAAAGATCTCTGTGAGATTAATGTGAATGTCATTTTTGAAAAGAAGAGCTAATGGCCTGCGCCTGAGATTGTCAAGCAGAGAGTCACAGTTTAATCTAAGCTCTATTGCTACATTTTTCCCATTTCACTTTTTCTGACCTGTATATAACCTAAGAATACCTAGATCTACAGTCAGTCAAAATCACCTGAAAATTCAGGCTGAGTACCCAAATACACTGCACAAAGTGACCCTTTCTAAAGCAAGGTAGGGATTGGTAACACTGAGTCATTTGGCTACATACAAATTCTCAAGCAATTCTGATTGGTACAACAGTTTTAGAAAAAGGTTCGTGAAACATTTTAAAAGTAAAGAGAAAAAAAAAAAATAAGTAGAGCCTTACACTGAGACTGAGGCCTCTGGATCTCTGACCGCCCAGCTCAGAGGGCACAGCAACAGCTGAGGTGCAGCTGTCACTCAACAAAGTGATCAAAATGCAGATTGATAGCAGACCCTATGTGACCCTTGCACTTTATCCTTTCAGGGTTTCACAGATTTTAATGCTCATGGATGCCGGATTTCTGAGAAGCTGAGATTATCAGATATTCTTTCCAGCTGGGAGAGCTACACCTATATATCTATGTCTAATCTTTATCTATATCATATATATCTATTTCTAGATATATTTAAATATAGATATACATATAGCTATTGATATGGCTATTTCACTTCCAGGTCTGCTTTATCCTTCAGGTGGAAGTGCTGATCCTCCCCTTTCCTGTCCTTAACCCACCCCTGCTTTAGCTCCTTTTAAGCAATAAAGCCAGTCCAATAAGCCTCCTTACTGCTTAGTGCCTCTGTGAACATTTTAGTTAGACTTGCAAATGTTGCTAAACGTGATCCTCAACTCTCACAAGACTTTTCCTCACTAAATTACTGACATTCACCCAGCTGACATGTTCTCCAGCAGAATTCCAACACAGCCATAGCCGCCAATGATCCTGAGGAAATAGTAGTAAACTGTTCCTCTAGGCAGTGTAAAATTCACAGTCACAGCCACCCAAACAAAAAAAAAAAAAACAAACAAAAAAAACAGCAGGACCACAAGGATATAGCTAACAAGCAACCCAAAATCCACCTAATTTCTGTAAGGAATGGTATCTAGAAAAAGCATGACTCGGTTCAGACATCTATATGCCTAAGAGATCAGGGAGCAAGAAAGCATTTTATACTATTTATCCCAGACTAGAAAAGGACATTCCTAAGAGTGCACTTGCTATTTTCCACTCTTTGATCCTACAGACAGCACCCAGTGGGACGATGGAGTTGAAAAAGTGCGGCTGTTGTTCTCCTCTACTATCTCTGCTCACAATATTCTGGCACTGGTGGGTACTATGTGCAGAAGGAGGAGCAGAGGCTGGATACCAAAAAAAAATTTCAGAGTTTACAGTTTTTCCCTTCCTGTGATTTAAAAAGAAACTCAGGAAAGTGCACTTTTATTTGTTGTTGCCTATTAACAAACCCTATTTTTTCATCATAGAGTACAATATTTCTGCGGTAACTCCAGAGAAAATTCATAGTTGTTCTTAGTAAAAATACATTTGGGTTTTTTTGGTCTATGTAGTCACTGAAATTAACCAGGTATGTTCTGGTCCTTTTCATCTAATTCCCACTGAAGAATTAGTAATCACACATAGAGAGATTGTTAAAATTTTTTAGCATAGGCTTTAGTTTTGTCAGAGATTTGCAAAACTCGTGTCAAAATCGCGTTACTCCTGCTTTGACTGGATATAATGATGTTTTCACAAGGGCAAAGTTTAGATAGACAAAGAGATAAAAATATAAGGTCACTTAAGTGAGGCAATCTAAGCTGGAATGTACATTTTGAATGAACAAATCTGTAGACTTTTTACAAGGCTTTCCCCTCAGCCCTGCACAGCTCTTCAAACAGAGAGTATCAGCTGGTGACTGAAGCGCAGACCAGAGTCAGCTTTTATTTTGGCTTGAATACAGATTTGTTGTGTGACCTTGATCAAGCAGTTTAACCTCTGCATTTCCTTATTTGTAAACAAGAATAATCACCATCCCTGACCTCATAGGCTTAATTCATGAATACTTGCAAAGAGCCTTGAGATCTTTGCCTGTATGTTGCTATAGGAACAAGAAGCAAACCTACAATACAATCATGTATGATGCTTTCATGATCCCAGTCGCAGCAGTACTCAAGCATTTCAGACTTTCATTTTAATTTGAAAGTAATACCATTATTTGGAGTGAAATAGAAACAATGTTCTATTTCATCCAGTTTTGGAGCTGGGGAAATTAAGTAGAGAGACTACATTGATCTCAAAATTGTGCTTTGGTTTCACTTTCAAATTCAGTCACATACATGAGGTAGATATAGGGAAGACTGAGGAAAGGAGACTCAGATGTACATTTCCCTTAACATGGGTCCAAGTGTACACATGTACAGATCATATAGGCAGGATGGTCACGCTGCACTTACCTGGACATCAAAATTTATCTGTCCTTCTTGTAAGATAGCTGCTAAGCACTTCTTAATAGACTTAAGACATACATTGCAAAAGCAATGATAGCAGTTTTAGACAGCCTAGGAGACCCACACACACTTATGAAAAGATAACAACATGGCTTCATGGAAACTGGTGAGTGATCAGTCAGTAGCCCAGTTCACTAGGGCATAGCATAGGCACAAACATGGGAGACTTCCTGCTCTGTGTCAGTCAGTGACACAATTCACACTGACAGCAGGTAGTGAAGGTTCAGTGACTAAATGACCAACTCAGAATCAAAGGAGGAAAACTGCAGCAGGGCTGTTATATATCACATCAATTCTCTGCCCAACCAGTCTATTCCATGAGTGTCACTGGGAACTGTGAATCAACACATGCATTTATTCGTTACATTTTCTTTTATATGTTGACATTTGTGATAAGATTTCTGCAATAAAGTTTGTTTACTGACAGGCTTCCTTTGTTGCTTCTTCCACAGCCACCAACATTGCAGGCAGACAGTTTAATCACAACATTGCAGGTTGGGAAGTGCTGAAATATCTGTGCCCTAAGCCTGCTTTAAAATCTACTAACAGGGCACATGGCTAAATCATCATATGACAATCTCTTTACACAAAAGCCAGTATGGAATTTATATGGTGAAAGAATGCTTCAGTATAAAAAAAATTATACAGCAAATAATTTCAGCTGATGCAGATTCAGACGCTCACTGTCAAGATGCACAAGACTGCATCTGCTGCTACAGGAGTCAACTTTGAAGAGATAGTCTATGTCATTAGGCTGTACCACAGTCAGAAAGTTCCCTATGGCTGAAAAACAGTTTCTGAATCAAGATCATCATAAAGTACAAGATTCTGAAGTCAAACCTAGATATTATCCTACCACTGTAGGACATGGGATAATAGAGAGAAAGAAGTAATTTATCTTAAAAATGTATGTTATTATATGTTTATAATGTTTTCTTACAATGTTTATAGAAAAGTTTTGAACTATCTTCCATTTCCAATTTTTTTAAAAAGAAAGTGTGGATTAAACCTCCTTCATAAAGCCTTCATAAATATTTTTTCTACAGTGCTGTAACACAAGCACTTGACCTAATGCTCCTTTTTTCTTAGATTAGACAAACAAAACCTTGGCAGCAGTTTCTGGACACCAGTATAAACAGCTGGGTTCCCTGTGAACCCAAAGATACACTTTAGAAAAAAGAGTCTATTGAAGACAGTTTTCTTTAAGGCCCTTATCAAAATCATCCTGAATATCCCACTGGTGACATAGAGGCCATGCCTATTCGATGCACCATATGAAAAGGTATTTCTGGAAGCCCAACTAAATTTGACAAACCAGCTCTTAGTATTATTTTAAGTGTCTGCCAACAATAAGGTTTGCACAAAATTATGATCTTCAGTACCTTTGCTAAGGAGCAGTGCAAACAACAAATTTGCAGCCAAACCCTATTTATTAGCATGAGAATTCAGTAGGTTTAGCCAGCAAACTGCTGCAAACTAGGCTAACACAGCTGGGGTACTGTATGAGATCTCCGTGCTGTAGAGTAGCATTGTATGAATCAGCAAACACAGGGAAATAATCACATTGCTGTGACATATATAGGAGTCACTGTTAGTCATTTTATATCAGGCAATATATCTTTGCTGTCTTTTGTGGCTTGGGTTAGAGTAATCCACAAACCCAGATTAAAACAGATAACAAAACACTGTTCCTTTAGTTAGGTAGTCTTGACTACTTTCATCTCATCAAGGGAAAAGCAGGGCAGAATCAGAGATCAGATCTTCTTCATTTGATCCTACATAAGAAAGGAGAAAAAGGATAAGTGAAAAGAGGCTATAAGCTCTCCTGTTGGGATTTTGCCAGGTATTTCTCCCATATGAACAATTAATGGAAAGACCAATGCCCTGAAATTTCATAGCCTGGCTTCTGCTACTTCCACTCCTGCTTATGAAACCTTTCTATTACCACCACAGGTTGTCTGTGACTGACCCTATGCTTTTAGCATGGGAGGGGACTTCCTTTTTTCCATCTTTCTTTTCCAGGCTGTTTCTGACAAACTCTGAGTACTTGGTCTCTTTGACACTGGTAATTATCCCTTCAATCCCAGTTACAATATGTCAGCTGGAGGCTAGAATAAAAGCAATAACTAATTGTAGAAAACCCCAATAAAAATGTTATATGCTATTGGTCTCAGATTATCTCAGCTTTTACATGTTCTAGAAGGTCGAAGTCTTCATCTCTGCCGTGCCCTACTGCCCTTTTTTCACTCTTTAAGCTTTCTAAAGCCTAGACTCATGTTCACATTTTTCAAGATTTCATGCAAGTTGCTTGTGAAAGCTGCCATATTAGCACCTACGTCCCTGGCAAAGCTGCAAAAGCCAGCAAAGCTGTTATTATTATCACTCCTCGCATAATTAAGATGCAATAGCAGTGCAAATAGAAAAGCAAGAGAATGTTTATGGAAAAATACTGTCCATTAAAATTTGACTTACGGTAAGCCAGGCTTTATATTATTACAGAAAAAACTGCTGAGAACTGGAGTGCCTCCACGTTCACCAGCAAAATTACATGTCCACTGAGTGGGTGAGGAAGGAACAGGAAAGGATGATGAAGATAGTGCAGTGCAGAGCAGCCCTCGGGGAGATAGAGAAGCTGAATAGCAGTCTAGTCCCCAGTGTGTGCAAACACCCTTTCTCCTTTGGAATTCCATACAGAACATGAGCTATTCCTGCTTCCTGCTCTAGAACTTCTGCTCCTTAGCCGAATGGCACAGCTCTTGCTTTTCACACTGGCAAGAGCTGTGTATGCACTCATACACAATAAGCACTGCCAAGTGTTATAATTACTGTGTTCACGTGGTCACTGTGTCTTATTGCCCAGTTATTTCATAACTGAGTGCTAAGTACTGCACCAGCTCCAAGCACACAGCTCTCACTAACTTCTAGGGCTCCCTTTACACATAGGTCTGTTAGAATTAACGTTTTCCATGACTTTATTTACTTGACCTGTCAATATTTTGGAGAACATAACGGTGCTTTGGAATGATTGCGTATTTGCCTTGTCTACGCATTGAAGCTGTACTTACATGTGTATCTCTTGCAGAACTCATTCATGAGGAAAACCATACAAGATTACAAGTTAATAATCTCCCTGAATGTCAAAATCCAGGGCAGATCAGGATGTGCATTGTGTTGGCAGCGCTGCAAACTGGGCTGTTTTAGTATTAACAGTAAATTTACTAGCTTCAGTAAGACTTTTAATAGGTTTTGCAGCAGGTTAACAACTAGCCATGGATATTTGCCATAAGTAATGCAAAGCACAGGAAAAAAGGTGCAATTATTAAGAAAACAGTAGCTTGAGTTTTCAATTCAATAGGAAGACTCCAGTTCTTTCTTTTAGATTTACAGTTCTGAGTAAAACAGATATCCCATCTTTGTTAGAAAGAACAGCAATTTCCAGAACCTACTGATTCTAGATCAGCACATTTTAGACCCCAAATATTCCAAACCAACACCAAGTAAGATTTTGTTATGGCTGCTAGCTGTAGAATGTGACTGAGTACCTCACACTACATGGGTTCCAGCTTCAGCTACATAATCAATGAGGCAATATTTAGGTGCATAGAGCAATGTGGCAAAGTATCTTCAGCTGCTCCAGCTCACCATCTGGTACATAAACAAAACAAGCCTTGAACCAGATTTTCTACTGGGATGACTGACATGCAGACATACATTGTGCCATCCTGGTTTTAGGGATAGCAACTTCTGGAAAGGGGAACATGAACACCTGAGAAAGAATTTTTTTCTCAGAACGTGGACTCTTTTCTTCATCCATTTTAGGAAGATAAAAAGCAGTGAGATCCTTATGGTGACTCTTGAGATAGCTACCTTACATCAGTCACTGGTGATAGCCAAGAGGAAGGAACCACTCTTCTGGGCTTCTGTTTCATCAGGCACTAATGTTCTTTGATCATTCCCCTTCCCTTGTTTTCTTCTGGTTATAAATTATGAGATACAAAGCATGTGTAAGCTAAGTAACATTCTGCCTCTCTTATCTGTCCCTGTAACTGCCCCTTCTGCCTCCCCAAATCTTCTTCTTGTGGTTGTTTACAGAGTACAAGTAGAAAGTAGGTCAGACAAATGGAGACTGTCAGATGACTAGTTTGAATTTATGGACATGTTGTTGTCTCTGTAGAACCATAGCGTTGTTCTTACAAATCCCCAAAAGTTTGTTTTAGCCTGAAAGGCTATTAGACTTACTACACCAGCAAAGGAGAAGGCTTTCTGCAGGAATTTCATCTGATTAAGTCAACAGAACTCTGCCTGCAGAGCAGAGCTTCCAAACATTTGGCTTCATTTTTGTGTAATTTATTCTTTACCTTTTCCTGCTCATAATGGAAATACTATGAAAAGCCTAAACAATTTAACAACTGGGGTTTATTTTCCTTTTTGCCCCTCACTTTGCCCACACACTCCAACACCAAAATCTCAATCAGTCATGATAGTTTAGAATCATAAGCAGCATTGGAAACACGTGCTCCATACAGATAGTGTCCCACCATGCAATGAGGAGTGCACACCACAATGGCTGCTGCTAATGGCAGGGAAGGCGAGTACAATTTACAGCTCTTTTAACTCCTCCAGCAAAGACACCAACAGTCAGTTACTGTGGCAAATGAAATATTCTGACAGAAGCATGATTGAAGTTGACAATAGTCCCACAAATATCAGCAGAGTTTCCAATAGTGTTGACAATTTTAGTGAATTCATGGCAAAGCAAGTAGTAACTGAAATGTAGTAACAGGGAGTTACCATTACAGCTCTGAACTCATATAGACAACAAAATTGGCAATTTGACTTCAGAACTATTTGAGACACTAGATTTTTCTTAGTAGGCTAGGTTTTATTAGAAGCTATGGATCACAACTGGAAGGACATTGCAATGCAACAAGGTGCCATGAAAAAGCTGAGAAGCATACACGGAATTACATCTATCTCAGTGCAAACTGTGCCAAACTTCCAAAACATCCTGTAGTCTTCTATTTCAAAATGAAGCTGGACCTTCACTATTCCACATTTTGATTGCCTAACTTAATGCTCTTATAAACTCAAATTTCATACTGTAAAAATGTGCAACTTTAACTGCCTTGGGTAGGATGCCTCTGTCCTTATGCATATGCCTCACCAGGTGGAAGTTGGGTGCCCATTCTCAACAGCTGTGTAGGGATTCCCTAAACCAGGACACAGGGGAAGAAGTTCCCTGATTTAAATGGGGTAATTCCTCCTATCATAAAATACACTTCTAAAAGGAATGAGATCTTTTGAGGGCAACTCAGCCTTTCTTTTAAATAATATTTTTAAAGCAAATGTTGCTGTGATTAATCTCATTAATTCTTGGATTCAAGTAATTCATGGATCCAAATAAGAACATGAAAATGAGTGCATTATTACCATATCTAAAAAAAATTTTCTAAAACTGTTAAGCTGCAACTACTTTCCTTTGCAACAGAAACTTATAAGGGTTTCAGCTCATAAACTCATGGTACCTGATAGCTTTTGCATCTTATGCTTTACCATGACACCTGGATATTTTTAATTTATTGTATCTATGTGTTCAGCATGAAAGAGCAGAAAGTCTCATCAAGAGACTTTACAAATTCGTAAGGCCTTCCTAGTCAGCTAGTTAGATTATTAGTTATGTGCCTTCTGAAGCTATTAAACTTTCAGTTGTTAGATTTTCAATACTGTCCATTTAGTGCTTCCTTCCTGAACACAAGTATTTTTACTATTCCAAGGCAACAAATCCAGATCTCTTTAGATAGTAAATTGCTAACTGCAAGAAATTCAGTGAGTGCCACAGACTTAGAGTTAATATCTTACTTACTTTGCAGCAGCCACCAGTTCCTCACACATAACCTCAAAACTTCATTCCAACCTGTTGTTTCTAATCACTTTTTTTTTTTCCAACAGGCTGTTTCTCATCATTAATGTTAGTGATATGACTTTGCTGATACATTCAGAACCTATTTCAGTCTTCATCTAGTTTTATGCCATTGGAACTTGGACATCCTTCCATAAAATTTTGGAGACAAAAAATTGCAAAACATGGCAGCTATATTAGGTATCTCAAGGTTATAGTCAAAGACTGTGACCATAAGAGAAGCCCATTCTGCTTGGTGCTATTCAGATTAACAGGGCATGCTTACATCTCCAGCAAGACATGACTGTGCTATATCAAGGTATATTTTGCATAGATGGCCTGCAGGCAGTTCAGCAGTGAAGCTACAGAACCTGGCACAGACTGCAAAGCCTACCTGAAAAGCAAACTCAGAAAGGTAATCTGTGCTGAATTATTTGCTGCTGGATCTATACTGATAAGGGTATTTGACTGATGTTAAGTAATTTAAAGCTAATTTAAGTATTTCTATGTAAGAAGGAGTCATAATGTGATTGCTATATAAATATCTCTGTAGTAAGCCATGGTACTTTCTTGTGGTTGCCAGAATTAAAGAATGGTAATGTCATGAGAAAACAGGGACACAGTGAAGACAGGTGGCTTCCTTAATTTCCTGCTGAAAATGGTATCCATCTACGGACACAAATGCCTGGCATGAACTACAGTGAATGGCTACAGAAACACATAATTTCCAAATTTAGTCTCTACATACTTCAGAAGAAACATCTGTGGTTTAAGATAGCCCAACATACCTTATTTTCCTTTATCCACACAGTATCAGCTTCCTGTCAACCTCACTTCCCAAATTCACCCTCCCATTTCTACAGTCTGAAAAACAAAAATAACAAACAACTCAAAAGTTAGCAAAAGTAAGGATGGAAATAGTCTAATGATGGATATTTATTGTATTTTCAACTCACTCTAAGGGCTATGAAAGCCACATAGAAGAGTTATCTCTCTAAAAGATCAACTTACTAATATTTTCTGTCCACTGCCAATTGCAGCTCTCCTAACATACCTGCACTGCTGACTGCTCTTGGAACATGACACCAGACCTTCAGCATCAGGCAGTGATGGCATTAAGCAGCCACTGACCAATAGGTTGAAACATACACAGGAGATCTGCTACACTGCTGCTGTTATACAGTCCTCTGAGTTTCTTGTTTCCAAACAATCTTCTGATACATTTAACATCAGTATACAGTGGTCAGTTTTTTAGCTCAAGCTGGGAACTGAAAAAGAAAACAAAGATGACAAAATCGTAAATACACAATAAATTTTAAAAAGTTAACTTCTGAGGCTCCTTTGCCTATTGCTTTTTTGTCAAGTCTTTTAGCTGATTTAAAAAGTGATAACCAGCTCTACAACTGGAATAGTAACACCTCAAACTTGAAAAACAAACCATTGAAAAGTAAAACTGAAATCAATTTTAAAGGACAGACTGAAAGGAACTTTTTCAACAGCAAGCTCACAAGCAGCTTGGAAGGAAAAGCAAGTAAAAGAGGACAGAAAAATATCAGAAATTCATGTAATACAACGTTCTGATTTAACAGTAGGTCGGCTACTTGCGCTGGTTACTTGGTTCTCAAAGGTAGGACAAACTCTTGGACAAGTCCTATACAGTGAAAATACGGTAATTAATTATACATACAATTAATTAAACATACAGTTCTAATGTTTAAGTCTAGAAACTAGATGCTAACTTCCTGTACAAGGGAACTCAAATCTAGGAGCTTATACTCAGATGCACACAGCAAAGTTCTTCATGGTCTGTTATGCAATCTGCTGTAGGCTCCTCTGTACCGCCACAGTAACTCAGTAAGGTGCCAGGGAAGAAACCACCTCATTTGGCCATTAAGTTTTCAAACCTGCTCCTACTGCCACAGCCCTAAATCCCACTGACTTTTGCTTGGAACTGGATTGAAAGACCCTAAAAATCAGCTGCAATAAGGCTCACAAATTAAGCAGAAGTGTTTTAATTCCCTCTCTGAACTGCTGAAGTTATTGAACACCAGATGATCAAGTCACATAATTTCAAAATAAATATAGGGTGCTTTTAAGTTATTTTACCATTTGAAGACCTCATTGGTAGTAGAATAGAAATAGAAGTATCGTTACCTTTTGTCCTGTTTCTATAAATAGAAGCAGGACAAAAGGTAATGATACTCTAAGAATAACATTCCAAAACAATTTATTTACCCCAAAATCCCAAAATTGCTCTCAATCTCTGCTCCACCCAGCCTATAATTATGTTTAAGGTTATCATGACTCAGGGGAGGACCTTGCCCTTGCTGAACTCTACAAGGTTCACATGGACCCACTTCTCAGGCCTGTCCAGATCCCTCTGGATGGCATTCCTTCCCTCAAGCATTTCAACTGCATCACAAAGCTCAGTGTCACCAGGAAGCTTGCACTTGATCCCACTGTCCATGTCTCTGAGAAAGGTGTTAAACAGCACCAGTCCTAATAATGATCTCTGAGGAACATCACTGGTCTAAACTTGGACATTGAGCAGTTGACCACAACTCTTTGAATGCAACCACCGAAAGGAAACAGAAAAATACACAAAAGATGTCTTCAAGAATTGAAATTCAGTGCTTCAGAAACTAACCAGCGCACAGTGTGGCTGTTCAAATCCTGGAAACAGAGATGATCAGCCAGTTGCATCTTGCACAAAAATATGTGTATCTAACAGTGTGAAGACTACTTTCCTAATATGCTCAAAAAACTTAATGCAGGAAGAAAGGTTGAAACACTGAAAATTTTAGGCATGGATGAGTTTGACACTTTATTCTGGAACAATCATTGGACAACAAAGAACTCTTAACCAGGAAAAATAACAGCCAGCAGAATGTGTGCATTCCTGCTCTGCTTCCAATTCCCCTGAGAACATGGGGAAAAAACTGGGGAAGTTAAAACCATTTCCCCAAGCAGCCTAAGTTCTCTTTTGGCCTGCTGTTATTACAATAAAAGCAAACCTATTACAACCAACTTTAGTCAGATTTTTAAGAGCTGAAAGAGTCATCTCCGGCTCCCTTTGAAATCAATTAAGAAAACAGGTATTTAACAAGTCATTTTTCTGTTTTATTTTAGGCAGTGGCACTGGGATGAGAAAAATTGTGTTGCAAAGTGAAAACAACAAGCCCTATAAATTTCCCTATTTCCCTCTACACACAATAAATGAAGTCCAGACGAGGAATTGTCTGTGTTTAGTAAAATGAATCCCACCCACAAAGCCTGTGGCATACAGAAACTCCTCCCAGAGGCCTTTTGTTATAGCTGTTACAGTTTCCATCATTTCCAGACTATCAGGCAACAACAGTGCCTTCATGGTAATCTCTAGACATGCAATGGAATTACAGACATGCAAAGCTCTTCCTAAGCCATCAGATCCTACTGCATGGACTCTATGGATCTGAGGGGTACACGTTACCATGTAAGTACTCTACATGATAAACAGGAAAGAAATAGATCAGAGAAACTCTTTTTTCCTATACTGGCTACATAAACTCCCTCCCTCCCATTGCAGAGACTTGGGACAAAACCTGAAAGACTGAAAACTGCAAGAAGATATGCTAATTTTTTATTTTTTTTTAATTATATTAAGCTGTACTTTTGATCAGAAAAGCATAATACTAGCAACCTAGAATCTACAACACAGCATGAAAAATAATCTTTGGTTGAAGACCTACATCATCTTCCTAACTCCATTTTTATAGCAGTATTGAACATTGATTTGCTATTAATCCTCCTACTCAGAAGGAACTATAGATGCCAAGGTGAGCATTGCTCATATTGTAAGCTAAGCTTGATAACAGTCTAATATCTGAAAATCCAGCTTCATTTATTATTTTATTTTTTTAAATCTGCACATGTGATAAAAAAAAATCAGTCACTCTTTGGATAGCGTGTGCCATCACAATGCTCTTTTACGCTCCCTCAAACAATTGGTACCCAGAGCAGGTGGAACTGGCAAATCTCTGACTCCAACAATTACTACAAACACCTTTTTTTCCACCTGAATAGGTCCCCAAAGAACATAATAATTCCAGAAATTACGTAGTATACAAGTGGTGTTCACCATCAGAACCGTTTCACCTGTAGAAAACCAGACCTCTTGTTAGACTTTGTTATAGAACAAAGTCTTGTCCCTCCTACAAAAGACAAAGCCACTGTTATCAATTAACAATACAGCTAACAATAATCAGTACAGCTTCACTATTTTATAGAAGGCTTTTAAGTACCATGTTCACTCTGCAGCTCCTCATCACAAGAAAGACATTGATATGTTGGAGTGAATTCAGGGGAAGGCTACCAAGCTGAGTGAGAGACGAAGCACATGGTGTACATAGATGGAAGAACTGTGTTTGTCCAGTCTTTATGAAAAGGGAGTTAGAGGAGACCTAATTGGATAAAATCTGCACATGTGATAAAAAAAATCAATCACTCTTTGGACAGCGTGTGCCATCACAATGCTCTTTTACGCTCCCTCAAACAATTGGTACCCAGAGCAGGTGGAACTGGCAAATCTCTGACTCCAACAATTACTACAAACACCTTTTTTTCCACCTGAATAGGTCCCCAAAGAACATAATAATTCCAGAAATTACGTAGTATACAAGTGGTGTTCACCATCAGAACCGTTTCACCTGTAGAAAACCAGACCTCTTGTTAGACTTTGTTATAGAACAAAGTCTTGTCCCTCCTACAAAAGACAAAGCCACTGTTATCAATTAACAATACAGCTAACAATAATCAGTACAGCTTCACTATTTTATAGAAGGCTTTTAAGTACCATGTTCACTCTGCAGCTCCTCATCACAAGAAAGACATTGATATGTTGGAGTGAATTCAGGGGAAGGCTACCAAGCTGAGTGAGAGACGAAGCACATGGTGTACATAGATGGAAGAACTGTGTTTGTCCAGTCTTTATGAAAAGGGAGTTAGAGGAGACCTAATTGGATAGGGACCTGAGCACCCTGATCCTTTTGAACCTGCTCTGTGAAAGCAGTTGCACTAAGTGACCTTTCAGAGGCCCTTTCCAACCTATGTAATTATATGATTCTGTGAAATGAATGAGAAAGTGAGGAAGCAGTTTCTATGGCTTTAATGCACACTTCCATCAGTTCTTGAAGGGTGCTCAGTCAGTATTCAATACTCAGAATCAGTCTCACCTAGTTGCCTGCTTAATGACATGTTAATATAGTTGGGTCTACACACAGACACTCAGACTGCCCACAAATCTCATCCCCTTCACAGCAAGCAACGATACAGCTGTCCTAAGGACAAGGAACTATCTTATCTGCAGACAACTGAATTAGCCAGGCACACAGCCTATCCACAAAGCAGTGAGGCTGCTCTTGAATGACCTTTAAAATTTCAGCACTAACTAATGTTTTTCGTGTAAGAGAATCAGCTGTTTTCATGTGCCCCAGATTCAGGAATAACAACGCCCTAACAAGTGCAGAATGAACAGTTAACACATTTGGCTTCAAGATGAATGCTGCACAGCATTACAGACACAGTTACCGAGATCCTCTTACATGATGTGTATATTTTGCCAATACAATCTGAAGCCATGAAGAAATATATTGCCAACAGAAGCAACCAAATGTAAATGCATTCTGCCAAAAGAACTTGCTAGCTGCACTATGCCAACAGACTGTTTGCCAGCTAGATCTCCTCATGCAGGAAAGGCCATGGATTGCCACTGACTTTTAGACTGTCAGATTCCAGTATTAAATTGATGGATTAACATTTTGCAACCAACAAGGTGACACTAGTTATCTTCATGACTGTTTTTAGTCACTAGTGATAGTGTCAACATGTCAATTTACACCATCATCTGTACTGAACCTTGCAAACACAAGGCTGCAAATATCTGGAACTGCCTAAGTAGATACACCATAGATGTGGAATCACTTAAAAACTCTGTGAGTTTTCATATGCTGCCACATATTAGTACAGGCTTACTACTCCACCTTGTACACTCAGACACAGCAGACAAGATCCTGAAGTACCTTTGCATGCTGTGCACTAGTACAAATCAAAAGGACAGATGTCTAACAAAAATGGTAAGTTGTTGTTTATGGTTCACATTAGGATTTGAATTTTGTGGCCCCAACAATAAAACTAGATTTCCAGATAGCAAGGTGATGATGCAGGGTATTTGAAAGTTCTCTGAAAAAGAGGTTTTTATTCCTGTTTACTAATCCAATGAATAAGGAACTTT